TAAAAGACAAGCAAAATAAAATAAAATAAATGAAATAAAATAAATAAAAGACAAGCAAAACAAAATAAAATAAATAAAAGACAAACAAAATATAAATAAATAAAAGACATGCAAAATAAAATAAAATAAAGACAAACAAAATAAATAAAATAAATAAAATAAATAAAATAAATAAAATAAATAAAATAAATAAAATAAAAAAATAAAAAAAAGAGAAAATACAAACTTTGTTGTGTTGGTACAACGACTCTAAGGCAAGCAAAATAAAAAAAATAAATAAAATAAATAAAATAAATAAAATAAACAAATTAAATAAAATAAATAAAACAAAATAAAAAAAACAAATAAAATAAATAAAATAAAAATAAAAAAATAAAAAAAAATACAGACTTTGTTCTGTTGGTACGACGACCCTAAGTCAAGGAAAATAAAACAAAATAAAGCTAAATAAAATAAATAGAACACATAAAATAAATACAATAAATAAAATAAATAAAATAAATAAAATAAAACAAATAAAACAAATAAAACAAAATAAATAAAACAAAAAAATAAAAAAAAAATACAAACTTTGTTCTGTTGGTACGACGACCCTACGTCAAGGAAAATAAAATAAATAAAATAAATAAAATAAAACAAAATAAAACAAAATAAATAAACAAAATAAATAAAATAAAAAAAATAAAAAAAAATAAAAAAAATAGAAAAATAAAAAATACAGACTTTGTTCTGTTGGTACGACGACCCTACGTCAAGGAAAATAAAACAAAATAAAGCTAAATAAAATAAATAGAACAAATAAAATAAATAAAATAAATAAAATAAATAAAATAAATAAAATAAAACAAATAAAACAAAATAAATAAAATAAAATAAAAAAAAAATACAAACTTTGTTCTGTTGGTACGACGACCCTAAGTCAAGGAAAATAAAACAAAATAAAATAAAACAAGCTAAATAAAATAAATAAAATAAATAAAATAAATAAAAGAAAACAAATAAAACAAATAAAACAAAATAAATAAAACAAAAAAATAAAAAAAATAAAAATAAAAAATACAGACTTTGTTCTGTTGGTACGACGACCCTAAGTCAAGGAAAATAAAATAAATAAAATAAATAAAATAAAACAAAATAAAACAAAATAAATAAACAAAATAAATAAAATAAAAAAAATAAAAAAAAATAAAAAAAATAAAAAAATAAAAAATACAGACTTTGTTCTGTTGGTACGACGACCCTGAGTCCAGCGCATCGACGGAGAAATAATTGAGCACCCAAAAAGGAGACTGCACGCAACACACACAGCTGCTGCT